CATTGAAAACATTTATTTTACAACAGTGGTTTGTTTCCGATAACTTAGCAATCTTTATTTTAGTTTATATTCAGACATACAATACACAAATTACCATGCTAAAACATAAAATAATTCCTTCTTGCCGAAACCGCGTGTATGTACAGGAGCTCAGTAGTATCGAGTGTTACAACCCACGAAGGTCAGACAGCCACGTCTACTTACATACAATTCAAAGTATGGTCCTTTAGTAACATAACAAAATATATATATGTCTATATTATAATTGCTTTTCAGATGCATTTATACCTCCATTGTGGTTGGGTTTGTTGGGTTTTGGTTTGGTTGGGGTTTTTTTACAATTTTTTTTTTTTTGTTACTTTTTTAAAGATGGGCTCTCCCCCCCTACCCCACCCGAGGTGCAAACACAGACCACGTTCTCTGCCAGCGCCCTCCACCCCCCCAGGCTCCCTCAAGAGGCCACCACCACCAAACCCCACTGGGAATTCCTGCCTTCAGGGCCTTTGCTCACGTGCAAAATGAACATTAAACCACCTGGGATGCCTGTGGGAACACAAACCAGAGTACCCACACCCAGATCTGGGAAGGAGGGAGAGAGAGAGGAAAGAGAGGAGAGGAAAGAGAGGAGAGGAAAGAGAGGAGAGGAAAGAGAGGAGAGGAAAGAGAGGAGAGGAAAGAGAGATATTTAAAATAGGCAAGTTAAAACTGTGAGAAGGGGAGAGGAAGGGGAGAGGAAGGGGAGAGGAAGGGGAGAGGAAGGGGAGAGGAAAGACAGAAAAGGAGTGGCAGCGCTGGGCTCAGAGAGTGTTCGGAACTTGGCAAACCTCAGAGTCCATCCACCGCCACGGACACAAACAGAACAAAAGGAATCCCCCCCCCACCCCACCCCCCTAAAAAAAAAAAAAAAAAAAAAAGGAGAGGAAAGAGAGAGGAAAGAGAGAGGAAAGAGAGAGGAAAGAGAGAGGAAAGAGAGAGGAAAGAGAGAGGAAAGAGAGAGGAAAGAGAGAGGAAAGAGAGGGTAGGGATGTGGGAAGGAGAGGAAAGAAGGAAGGAGAAGAGAGAAAAGAAGGAAGGAGAAGAGAGAAAAGAAGGAAGGAGAAGAGAGAAAAGAAGGAAGGAGAAGAGAGAAAAGAAGGCCCCCCCCCCCCCAGTGTCCCCCCATTTCTGCAGAACCCCCCATGTTTTGTCCAACAGGAGAAGCCCCTGGAAGGGAAGGCGCAGGGAGAGCTGTGGGCTCAACCCAGCACGACCAGAGGAGGTTGGGTAGAGCTCACAGATGCCTTTACACCTCCCACCTTCGCCTTTACCACCTGCAATTAACTCCAAGCCCTAACGAATCCAACCTGTGAGCGCTGCAAAGCGAGTCCCTGCACCAGAGTGTGCAAACCCACCACGCCAGGCAAGGGGGAGCCCACTGGGGCAAGGAGGGATGGCCCCCCAAGCAAAGGGTTGATTTTCCTTCCCAAGTCTGTGCACAACAGGATCCCCCCAGCCTCTCCTGCACCAGTCACTTCACCCCACAAGATCCCCTTTGGTTTTTTTTCCCCCTGCAGCCGAAAGGAAAATAAAAAAAAACAACAAAAGAGCACAATTCTGGAGACACACACACACAGAAACACAACTCACCCCCTTCCGCTTGTCTGGCTGAGAGTTCACAGCAGGACTTGGAGCCAAATTTCATGTTTTTACCACCAAAGGAAAAACAAAAAAAACAAAACCAAAAAACCAGCAGCAAGTACGAGGCGCAGACCTGTTGTATAAATATATACATATGTGCATATATACATAGATACACACACATGATGCTGCAATCCAAAGCCTACAGCGTGGGGTGGGACCTTGCTCGGCCAGTCCCACTTTGGAGAGTACAAAGTGGTGAAAACTAGTACAAGGGAAAAAAAACCCCACCCCAAATCGATGTTTTCTATCCCAACTCCAGCCATGAGCGCGTCGCCCACCTTTATAACGCCCCAGGCTGGCACAAATCCACATCATTCCAGAGACAGCCCCTGCCCTCCTGGGCACCACTGGGTTTTCCTGCTTTCCTCCAGGAAATCTGGAGTGGGAGAAGCCCCGCTCCGGCCGGAGGGGCTGGGGACAAGGGACAGCCAGCAGAATTCAAGTAAATTGTTAAATTTTCAGAAGGGTTATGGCAAGCGACCGCTCCCAGACGGCAGGAGTGCACCCACACAGGGCTGCTGGGGGGGACAGCGAGCAGAGACGACAACAGCACTGAGGAATGAATGGCCATTTTATATACGAGCTTCCTCTATACATATACATATATATATATAACCACCAGGAATTCCCAGCATCTAGCCTTTTAACAGCAAAATTAACCGTGCACGTCACGTTGGCGTTGGATTTCCAAACGAGGGTTTGTCTTCCAGATGGATGGCATTTGGCTCTGTGCGAACGTCGGAGGACAGCCAGCTTCCTTCCCAAGGTTTCTTCTGGTAAAGAAAGCATCTTCTTGGAAGGAAAATGGGAATTCCAGCCTTGCTGAGTCCCCGATGGCCCTCAGGACGCGGAGCAGCCCACGGTTCCTGCAGGACTTGGACACTGACATATCTCCTGCCACCTCGTTAGCTCTCAGTTCCGCTTCTTTCAAGGTATTTTAAGCAGTTGTTGGTGTAATGACACGCTACAAACTGGATGATTTCCACTATGATACAGGGAAGAGGCATCAGATGATGAAGCGTGTTAAGTTTATACCGACCTTACGCTACAAACACTCACCCTGGGGGGGTTACATTTCAGTGCTGGAAGATTAATGTGTATTTAAACAGCATCCACCATCATTAACACCAGGCGGGGGCTGCAAAAGCCTCCCTGACCACCCGGCAAGAATCTCCCCTTAAACACGACGCCGGGATGGAAAACCCACAGCACAAATGCATTCCCTAAATTATGTGGAAACATGGAGACCCCCGACGGGCACCGCGCAGACGAGGGGCACAATCTAGTTGAGAAAAGCGGGTACCTCTCCCAAGGAACGTGTTGGGTACAACAACATCACCCCCCCAAAAAACACGCTGGCGTCCCTCGACACCACCCAACCGCTCTAGAGATGGGCCAGGAGTATCTTGTCCATCAGGCTCCTGCCCTGGTTACACCCACCGTGTTTTTAGGCTGAGACAGAGGGATTTGAGGACTGCAGGACTCGGCGTCTCTCCGTGCCGTGCCCGAGCCTTCCTCCCTCCTCCCCCTCTGCCTCCACCAGCATCGCGTTTGGAGAACACCAGGAGCACTAATATCTAAAGCAGTTTAAAAATATTACAAAAATCTAAAAATAAGACTGAAAAGGTAACATGGCTCTACAACGTCACTGCATGGCATCAGCGGAAACCTACACCCTTCTCAGACGCCACTGAGGTTTACAGAAACAAATGTATATACAGATAAATAGTTAAGAATTTCCTACAAACACCACGAACAAAATGAAACTGGCATTTAAGGGGCACGATGCCCCTGTCACTCACTTCAAGTGAAGCTTGTACAACTGGTTGTGCCCCAGGGCCTTGGGGATGGAGGATGGGGCAGGTCCAGCACCACCTCCTTCTCCCCCAGCTCCGGAGGGACGGGACCTGAGCTCTCTCTGCAGCCAAGCGGTGGCTTTCCCTGCTCACCCCAAGCTACTGACAGCTCTCCATGCAACACAGCTCGGGGGAAAAGTCCATGGTCCTTCACACCAGCCAGAGGAAGCTCTCCAGATCGGATTTTCCCCCAATTCTCCTCATCAGGAGGAGCTACCAGCACTAAGAAAATTGGTGCCGAAGAGGTTCGATGAGCCAGATGGAGGTGGCTGAAATGGAGGTCTCAGGCAACGTGTAAAAAAATAATAATGATACGACTTTAAAAAAATCTTAAAAAAACCAAAAAACAATCAAAGCTCAAGTTTTAATTCTGGCAATGTGCTGAACAGAGATGGACAGTGCTCGGGTTTGAGTCTGGAAGGAAACATTCTGCATTAAGCCTGGTACCGGGCTGCTGGGGCTCCAGCTGCACAAGCTTGGACCTGCCAAGTGATTTTCTGCACCAGATTTTGAACCATTATTTCCAATACAACTTTGCATTCACCAGGACTCAACCTGGCCATTGGGAAGTGCAACCTGTGTCAGAGCCTGGGATGCTCCTGCACCTCACCCACGAGAGCAGTGGGCATTAACCTACGTATCTCCTGATTGCACACAAGCTTTGGTTTAACGAAGCGATGTTTAAATAGCTCTCTCATATAGTTCAAGAAGAACTACATCAATACACAACATTAAATTCAGAGATTATAGAGTAACATGGGCAAACTTAAAACAGTTTCAAAACTCCATGAATATTCATCTAAAAATGCGTTTTCCTGATGTTCCCTGTGACTGGGATCTGGGAGTGGTTTCCCTTGGAGCACCCGAGGCATCGCTCTGGCACGTAACAGCACACAGACTGATTGAGTACCCACACAGCTCCTGCAGACACAGCCGACAGGAGAGCCCTCTCTCTCAGGCTCCTGCCTCACCGAGCCAAGATCTAAACCACCAAATTTCTCCTGGATGTTGTCTTTTCCCAAGCAGCGTGAAAGCATGGATCGCGGTATCGCCTTGACCCCTCATTTGCTGCCCACACTCAGGGTGTCAGGAGCCTGTGGGTGCATTTACACACCTCCTGCTGGCCTTTCCAGTTCAGGGGAAGAAGCCCAGAGGGGTTAAGACGAGGAGCCTGTGGGTGCATTTACACACCTCCTCCTTACACACTGGCCTTTCCAGTTCAGGGGAAGTAGCCCAGAGGGGTTAAGACATTAAGAAATTAAGAGTATTATTCCAAATCAACACCGACGACCATCAGGGGTCACAGCTGCTCCCCTGTGGAGCAACAACCGGCTTCGTGGTACCCACCTCCACGGACACGGGGACACGGAGTGTGACAAACCACAGCCTTTTCCTCACTCTACCGAGTCACTCTGACCAGCTGTGCTCATTTACAAAGCCAAAAACACCCCTAAAACATTGTTGTTGTGGTTTTGTTTTTTTTTTTTTAATCAAAAACATAATCTGCACAGATCAATTTTAACCAGTGAGGGTTTAGGAGACAAAGCCTGCAGATATCCAAGCATGGTCCAGGGTGCAATTCAAGGTCAAGATCAGGCAAAAATCTACAAGGACAGCTGATGTGACACTACTCTTTTAAGCCTAAAAACTGCTTATATTTCAAGGGGTCAAACTGACTTTAATTAAATAAGGACCTCAAGCCAAAACAGACACAACTGTCCTCAGGGCCACCCAAGAGAGCTTTCCAGACGAAAGTAAAACCGCCAAGTTCCAGGTCTAAAAGGCCTATGGATGAGAAAGAAATGACTTATCAAGTGCACTGCCAAAATCTAGCCTGTTAACTAAAAACAACATGTCTTTTGGGATTCTGGGGACCCGATGTGGTACCACAAACATGCTGATTTGCAACAATCTCACATGCAGGCAACAACTGGAGAAATTGGATTTTGCCAACACCCCTCACTCAGCATCAAGACCATTGTTGAGGACATTTTCTTCTACCCAGCACCTCTAACAGGGTCTCATGTCAGATTTTTATGTGCTCCATCATTTTCAGCCCACGTAAAGGTAGCGGGAAAAGACATTCAGAACGATTCTCTGGCAGGAGAGCCCCCTTCATTTTCTGACAGTTTTCTTAAGTGTTCAAAAGTCACACCGGGATCTTGGAACAGACCTTCAGAGCCAACCTTCCAGTGGGGTAGAAGGCTGGAAATAACCTCTCCACAGAAAAAGCTGAAAAATGGAAGGGGGAGATGGGGGATACAAAGGAGAGCAGAGGCAGTGTGATATAAAACCATAAAGATCCAAGTTAAAGAGTAAATTAAACACTGAAAGTGCCGAGTGTAGGTTCTCTGGGAACTGTTCTAAATCCTGATTCTGTATCATCTAAAGCAAGATTACAAACAACAAAACAGACCAGCGATTCAGCAGCTGCCTAAAATGCTTGTTTTTAACAGTTAAATGGCAATAAACCACAGTTTCTAGAGCAGTATTCCAACATGATTTGGTTTCAGAACAGTACAGGAAACCTTTCAATGGTATTCCCATAGTTGTTCCGAGGAAAAGAAAAACACTGCTGTAAACAAGTCTAAATGCAAGACAATGTGCAAATCATACAATATAAACACAAAGAAAGGTGTTCTGTTCTTACAAATCCTTTTAAGTACTCCACAAAGACGTTCATGAGAAAATTAAAGGGACAGTGCATTATAAAAGCTTTTAAAAAAGACACATAATACCCCATTTGGCCATTAAAATCTCAAATTATTAGAACAAATTCTTTAAAACCCATTTTTTTTTTTTAAACACTTCTGCTGTTGCCTACTGTCTGCATTTTACTCCCTTGCTCAGTGAAAACCAATTCACCAGCTTCACTTTAAGATTCTCATGCGTTCAAAAAAAGCCGCACTATTTGGTCTTTAGCATTTCAGGAAAATGAGTGAACTCGAACCAAAGCAGAATTGTGCTTGATGTTAAACCCCCCCCTCCCCCCATCACCACCAAATAAGCCCATTCACAGCTGTTTTTTGTGACAAAACTACAGTTTGCAGTTACATCATCAGCAAGGATCGCCTCACACGTAAAGAGCTGTTCATCAATTTACTGCTCAAAGACTGGAAACTCTCCTTTCTTATTTTTCAAGGTAGATTTATTTAAGCTGAAAATCAGCATTATAGAGAATTCCAGCTCTGCAGGACTGGCATTTTTTGGTTCTTGGCTTTGTAAACTTGCTTAGGTAACGAGACAGAAATAGGAAGAGGAATAAAGGAATTGATTTGTTGCACTCCAATGAAAATCGTGAACTTTTAAAGGTCTTCAACAGCTCAGCTGTACGGAAGAATAGTGGCTTCTGTGAAACTTTTTCTTTTTTAGAAATCTCATTTTTAGGCCAGTACCACTGCTTAAAATGCAGAATGTCTCCATCACACTTATATTGTGACAACTCAATACGTTACACCACAGACATTTAACATAACTCCATACATGCTATAAAAAAAAAACCAAAAAAAAAAAAAACCAGGAAAAAATAAAAAGGAAACAAATAAGACCGTAGCTAAACTGCTTTAAATACTGCATGCTACAGCACTTCACGTATCATCAAGATACGACACTGAAAGGTGACAAAAGGCCGAAGGGATTACAAAATACTTTCGGCAGGTTGGAAAGCTGCCTTCTTACTGTAGCAGAATTATTCCCCCTCCCCATTCTCTACTTCTAATGTTCATGATTCTAGTGTTGAGTTGGCCATGTAATTTTTTTTTTGTTTCGTTTTTGTTTTTTTTTTTTTTTGTTATCCATTCTAATTATAGTGTTTCCTTAACTTAATTAAATCCATCAGTGTGGTAGCTGGGGTGAGAGTCGGCTGTGAGCTGGGTCGTCTCTGTGGCTGATGCTGGCTGTATCACAATAGGTGCGTCTGAGGCCTCTGGAAAGCCAAGACAGAAGAGGTTTAGCACAAATCAGAACAGAAGTTACATCTCCCTACGACACTCGGATGACACAATTTTATGCTCCTCCAAGAGCATGATGTTAATTTACTGTTTTTCAGTCCACTGAAGTCTAGGCATAGAATATTTATTATATTTCCTTCTCCAGGTGAGAGCAGCTGATCCTTGTCTACCATCCAGCAATGGTGGGCATACACAAGGCTCTAGAGTTTTTTAGATGATGGGTTTAATTCTACAGAAATAGCAGTGTATCTTCACAAACAGCATTATGTATAGCTACTAGAGCTGCAGTCCCATTTCCTCTGTGCCTGACACAGTTAACAAAAACTGTGCCTTGACCCTCTCCATGCTTTGTGGTAAAAAAGCCCCTTTCTAGAATGACCCGTATCTGGCCGGTATCTTACTGAAGGAAGCTCAGTGATGGTCACCCACTGCTCTGAAGCTGACCCCACCAAGTTCAGTGAAGACCCTCTGGGAGTTTTCAGCAGCTGCGTCCCCAGCGTTAGCGTGACCCACGTGACTCTTGTGCCACCAGTATCCCCTCACCATCAGCTACAACCACACACCTGTGCTGGTCTCTCCACACCAAGCATTGCCCCTTGCCCAGCACACTAAATCTCTCACTCAGGGACTCATGCTTGTTCTAGAATCATAGAATGGTTGGGTTGGAAGGGACCTTAAAGGTCATCAAATTCCACCCCACCTGCCCTGGGCAGGGACACCTCCCACCAGACCAGGTTGCTCCAAGCCCCATCCAACCTGCCCTTGAACCCCTCCAGGGATGGGGCAGCCACAGCTTCTCTGGGCAACCTGGGCCAGGCTCTCACCCCCTTCCCAGCAGAGAATTTCTTCCTGAGATCTCATCTCAATCTCCCCTCTTTCAGTTTAAAACCATTCCCCCTCGTCCTACGGCTCCCCTCCCTGATCAAGACTCCTTCTCCACCTCTCCTGTAGCCCCCTTAGGGACTGGAAGGAAACCCCCCAGTGTTGTTACCTACCCCTTTCATCTGACTGCAACTGTGCCTCCAAGTCCTCTGGAGAGACGTAGTACTCCTGCTCGTCCCCTTCGGGGGGTTTGGGTTTACACTTCCCGCAGCAGCAGTTACAGCAGCAGCACAGACAGCAGCAGCAGTAGCAGCCTGTGATGAGCCCACAGAACACGAACAGAGCCTGCAGAGGATGGGAGACAAAGAAATACTCAGAACTTGTGCCCACCAGCCACGACCATCAAGCTTGAGCAACTCAGATACAGAAAGCAGAGACCAAAAATACAGCCACGTAGAGATAAAGTTACAGTTTGCTTCTTCATCACTAAGAAATATTTTAAAAATATGTACAAAACTATGGCTCTCAACATTTTACACTGAGGTGAACACTGCCAACCTGGTTTACTTGAAGAATTCCTACAATTTTGGTTTAAATGGACTATTCTGCTACATCTGGAAGAAGACACAGAACTAAGAAGTGTGTCTGTATTAAAATCTGGAGGTACATTAGTTTAGGACAGATTGTAGCTTGCGTAAATAACCCTGAAAGGACTCACCCTGGTTAGCAGACGGACAGGTCACAATGCACCCACAGCAGGGACCTCGACCTACCCAAGGCTGTGGGCACAGCTACAAAGCTCAGCCCCACCATGAAGTTCAGGTGCTGAGGTTGGGTGCTACCAAGGCAACTCAAAGCAAGCCACGTCTGCCAGGTGCTTATCGCAGTGAAAAATAAGCAAAATTAAAATTTTCACACAGGTCACTGTGTATTTGTTTGAAAAAAATCATTTTATAAGTGGCAAACCAGCACGGTGATGTTCCAATTCTCTTACTGCAGGGGAATCATGAGATAGAGATGACACTGGCAAAGGGTAGCAAAATTGACCAGTGAAACTAAATGTCAAGACAAGGAAGGTTTTAAGGAGCCACAATGCACTGTGAACAACCTCACGTCACTAGCAAAATTGACCAGTGAAACTAAATGTCAAGACAAGGAAGGTTTTAAGGAGCCACAATGCACTGTGAACAACCTCATGTCACTGAGTTAGTTGGTGCAGTTATGATTTCATACTTCAGTTTCATAGTCACGTCATCTTTTACTCATTACTTTCTGCACAAACAGACTGCGTTCGCAGGAACTCCGAAATGCAAGAGCCTGGACAATTCTGGTATGAAAAATGTGTAATGTGCAATGTATAGGTCTTTTGCACTTTTGAGTGAATATGGTGATTTTCAAATGTATTACTTAAAAAGAAAGAAGCAAGTTATGCTTAAAAATCATTTGAGTCCAGTAAAACATAGTGATCCCTTGCTATTGGCAGAAGGCTTGAAGAAGGTGTTTATACAATGATTGTGACATGCAATGAGGGCAAAAAGCTGTTGTGTGAGAGGAAAGTATGTGTGAGGGAAGAGGAGCTGGCAGTGTGACTTTGGAATACTGGTGATATGCCCTCTGCTGCCCAGAAAAACCAAGGATGGGCAAGTAAGCAAATAACCTGGAGTCTCTCAAATAATAGCAAGTTGAAGAGTTGACATTAATTCAGTGAGTATGTAAGCAAACTTCCAACCAGGATCTCCTGCATGAGTTCAAGTTCACAGTTAGAACTCCTTTTATAACATCATTTATCAAATATTACCAAAGAGAATAACACCCAAACCCTCATCACTGTTAGAAGGGTCCAAGTTCTCTTAGTAATGTAAATTTTTCTTATTAGACCTGTATCACTGAGATAATGCAGAAATACTTCTGAACCAGAGACTGCAAAACAGTAAGAGAAGGATAAACTACCAGTTGTCAGAGATTCAGCAATTTCCAAACGTCAAACCAAGCACGATTATCAAATGGAGCTTTTGAAGAGTTTCAAACCCTAATCCAGAACAAATTCTCTTTGCAGTTTTGTTTACCTTCGCCCACCAGCTGGATAGCACGAAGTACGTGTTCACATTTTCTTCCCCAAACTGTTCTGCTACGTACAGACCCAGGGACCCATACTTATCATAAATGTTTCGCTTTGTGGCATCGGTCAATATTGCATGTGCATTATTGATCTCTTTAAATTTTTCTGCCGCTTCTGGATTATCGGGGTTTTTATCAGGATGATATTTCAATGCAAGTTTCCTGCAGAAAGAAAAAAGAGATCGTTATAGATTAAAAACAGGGATTTGGGTTCCTCTGCAGAAAGAAAAAAGAGATCGTTATAGATCAAAAACAGGGATTTGGGTTCCTGGGTTTTTTGATTTTATTTTTTTTTTTAACACCATAGCCTGTCACTCAAGGGAGACTTTCAAGTTCCAGCTGGTTTCCTTCACCTGTGATTCAACTTCCCTGATGATTCTTCCTTAGATGATAACAAAAGGCTACAGCACTGTCTAGATTTGTCCACAGGACTGACTCCAAACTGCTGGATTTGGCCCTCAGAAATCCAATGGAAAAAAAGAGACACGTTGAAGAAAAGCAGTGCTTTTTTTTTTTTTTTTACCCCTCAGTTCCAGCAGTTTCCACCAGTAAGTCTTGCTTCTGCTAAAGCAAAGACCAAGCTAAGAAAGACACACAAGTCTAAGGTGCAGTACCAGAGAATAAATAAACACAGGCTGCCACAGCTGATCTGCAGTGTCTGAGCACAAAAATAGAGACGACAAGGACTTGTGGTTAATTCACCGATTCCTGTGCAGGAACAAAGCACTTTTCAGTTCAAGGCTTTCTAGAACAGAAAAAATGCTTCAGAGTTTCAAGACATCAGGAAATCCCAACCTCCCTCCCTCCCCTAACCATGCGAGATCTCTTACAATTAAACGACAGCAGTTTACAGTCCCTGGAGGTCTCTGAACGTGCACCAAAAAATTGGATGAAACATCAGTAAATTTGCTAGTTCTGACATGGCCCAGGTGATTTACAGAAACCAGCAGAAATAACTGTCCAAACACCTAGTTATAAACAGAAGAAAATGCTCTTTTGCTATCTGTGCTCCCGAGTAGAAATATGACACAGAATTGTATGCTAACAGTCCTCTTCCATCAAAAAAGGTACTTGTCCTCCTACAGAAAATTGCCGCAAAGTCCCAGATTTGAGAAATACACGAGAAGCCTGCAGACGTTTGCAGGAAAACTTCAGAGTGAGGAAATATTTAGACAAGCAAAATCAAGATTTGTGCAAGCGCACATTTGGACAGTCAAATACATCACAGCATTCAAACAATAAATGGAGGGTGCACTTGAAACACTCAGGCTGTAAATGCTGCTGCTCGGGTAACTTCCAGGGCTGCTGGTAATGCCATAGCATCAGCAAGGACTGAAATAATCAGAGTTTTTTATAATTAGAGGGAAGTTACACAAACCTGGAAAGGGCTTAGCTACTATCAGGCTGCAACAGGTAAATATTTTTCATTTCCCATTTCCTACACGTACACAAACCCCACAGCCCCCAGGCCAGCAAAGGGAATGAAAACAAGAGGTGACCAGTCCTCCTCTTGCAGAGGAGCAGCAGAGGTAAGAAGATGAGATTATGGTTCAGGTAAGTATGAGGCAGCCACATTTCACCCTAGGATCTAATTGGGTCCTTCCTCCAAAGGAAAAACTGTTGCAGTTTTTCTACCAAGAAGGTAAAATTATTTTATAAGGTTGCAATATCACAGATTCAAACTTCCACTTAAAGGTTTCAGGAAGACAGAGCTAATTCGTGAGAATCTGTGGATGCAGTTTATTCAGAGACTTCCCCATGCAGCTGCCATCAGTCTTAAAATGTAACTTTGAAAGGGAAAAAGTTCTGGTAAATGTTAAAGGCTAAAAGAAAATGACTTTCCACATGAGTATCCTCAAGTGAAGATCAGTGCTGACCCCTAGTGTAACGCTGCACACACTGCCACTTGTGAAACACCAACAAGACTCAGATTTTGGGGGAACATAGGAAGGGAGGATGCTACAGGACTTTGTTGTTTGTTTTTTTGTTTTTATCTGGTCAATGTGAAGCCATTTCATGTGTCTAAGAAATTAAATAAAGTAAAAAAATCCTCTTTTAAAAATAGTAACTCCACATACAATAAGAAATTTCGAATGGATTTTTTAGAAAAAAAAAAATCATTGTTGATACTCAGGTTTTCATCCTTATTTGCATCTTTAGTTTATATCTCACTGTGCCCAAACTGGAAGTGAGGGATACATACAATAAGAAATTTCGAATGGATTTTTAGGAAAAAAAAAATCATTGATACTCAGTTTTCATCCTTATTTGCATCTTCAGTTTATACCTCACTGTGCCCAAACTGGAAGTGAGGGACGATGATGGGCAATACCACACATCCGTGGTCTCTGTGAGCCAGACACAAGGCTACGTAACGTGAAGAATTTAATTCTGATCACACTGTCAGACTAAAACTCTGCTCAACTTTAGATAAAGACCTACCAGACTGATACTGTGTATTTGAGAGTTTAACCTATTGGACATAAGATGTAAAAATTTAACAGCACCCAGCCTAGGCATGTTTTCACACCAATTTTTGCAAGAATTAACCACGCTTTCATCTGGTTTCTTACATGTTTCTCTTGAAAAAGGTTAAATAAACCAGCCGGAGCCTATGGATAAATACGCCATCTGCTGCACACTTCATTAAAGCTATTTGTGCTGTTGGACCAACAGGCATAAAATGAGAACCTTTACCTGTATGACTTTTTGATATCATCGGAAGTGGCGTTCTTGTCCAGGCCTAGCACGTGGTATAATGACTCTCCAGAGGTGGAGAGCGAGCGTTGCCTCTGGTCTGCCATCTCGAACTAACCTGAGGAGAGAACCAGCCCCTGCCAAAAAAGAGATTAAGAAATCCTTCAGCAAAGAAGAACGTAGACCTCATTAATGACATTAACCTTGAAACCAGAGTTTCCATGTGAAAGATCATCTTTTATAAGGTTTAAAAATGTGCTTTGAAAAGAAAAAGCTCTTAACGTATGTGGAAGTTAAAAAGTTACAAAACTCAGTGAATTATCAGTGAAAACAACTATTACACTTTCAGCATAAGAAATACGTACCAGGCATGCTAGAACACCCTAGAATCACTATATATGCAATTCTTCTGTCCAAAAAGCCCAAATCACCAGCTGAGCTAGAAGCTACTTCATCTTCTTTCTTAGTTTTAATATTGTGATAATTTATTTGTGATAATACCTACAAAAAAACCTTGACGACAGATAAGGATGCCATTAGATGGAGGCTGCCTTTTTGTACCACACTTGCAAAGGGATGTTATTTCATTTCTATTTTCAACTGCAGACATTCTGTTACATTAAAAAAGAACCCAAACCTCCACGCAGCTCCCAAAACCTCTGCCTCCCACCTTATCACTGCCACCAGCCCAAGCAGAATCCTTTAGGAAAATCCATTTTATCTACGCCCATGCATCCCACTATGGAAGAAGGGATGCCTGCCCCCTGAGAGAGGAGGAGATCTCCCCCCCTCGTAATTTAAAGCCGTGGATCAAACATATAACACGTACTCTAGTTAAAATGATGCCACTGGAACGTGAACTAACCTCCTGCTCCAAATTCCCACCTGGAAGACCCTCGAGGTCTCCCCCCCATGCTGTGCCATGGCCAGAGAGGGTTGTGCCCTCTCCCATCCTTTAGCAGATTAGCCTTTGCCATTCTTTAGCTGCAGAACCCCAGCAAGGATGAGCATCCAGGAGAAGACTAACAGCTATTTTTGGATTATGTCATTACAGCTAGCCTACACCAGATTATGTGGCCTTTGAAAAAGATATTTAAAGCAGCAGACTTTCTAATTTAACCCTTTGTCTTACATAATGCAGTTAAGAATGTCAGCTTTTGAAAGGCTACCTGAACGAAACACCCTGAGACGCCACATCTTGAGACGCCACATCTTGAGACACCTGGTCCTTGGTGTGACCTCACAGCATCAGTGACACTTCACAGAACGCACCGTTCTGTTTGTGCCCACACGTGGGTATTGTCACAGCCCCACACAAGCCTGGAAGGACGTGGACAGAGACATTACAACTTACTTGTCCATCTCGGAGCCCATCCTTAACTACTCTCCCACGTTTGGCCTCCCCAACTTTATATTTGTTCAACACTGGGCACTATGACCAGTTTCTTTGACTGGAATATACCAGCTAAACCAGCAAGGCCTCACCTAACTTCCTTCTTTGGCAGATCTGGTAAGTTTAATTAAAGGTTACCTAATAAGGAAGCTATAAATTATTACTAACAGTAACAAAAGGTCTAAGCCCTACTGCGTTGGCTAAGAATTCAAAATACAGCCCAAATCTGGAAGGTGAATGTGTAGGCAGGGAGAGAAAAAAAATCTTTTATTTTCCTTTAAAGGAGACTGTTCAGCCACCGAAAGGTTTCTGTAGGAGAGGAAAAGTATTGCATCTTGCAGCATTCAATAAAATTGATTCATTTACTTGGACCCAACGTGATTCCTTGAAAAGAAAAAAAAATATTTCAGGAAAGAAATCCCACATCTGGGGATACACCAGGCACAACCCCCCCACGATGGCTTTTTCCCATCTGCAGCCTCCCACCCCCCTCCACCCCAGCGGTCCTGGTGCTGAGGTCAAAGACTGATGATCCTGACGTCTCTCTGGTAATCTAGCTAATCGCAGGGTCCTGCTCCAACCACTGCCCTGGCTCCCTGTGCAGCTTCTCCTGCTCTCCCACCACCATCACCACGTCCTCACAACCCCCCCGAGGAAAGAAACCCTCTCCCACAGCTCTGTCACACCAGCCACCCGTCAGCAGCACCAAAGGGGAGCAGGTCCATCACTATCGCTCCTTGTCAGGGACCTGGGGGATGAATCTGAAGTCAGGGGGGAAAAAAAAACCAAACCCAAACCATCGTGGTTAAGATTGTATATGTTAATTTAGCTCTTCCAAAGGTATTGCTTCAAACTGGAGCTTCGAGGGCATTATGAACATTTGTGGTGTTTAAAGTCTGCAGCTCTATTTAAGCATTAACAAGCCTCCTTTAAAACCAACCCAACATGCCCCTGGTGCACAGATGCCACAGATCGTAGGTATACACTGTGTTCTGCTTAATAAAATCTCCACTGTTAAATTAGGGCCAATTTGTTTAATAAAAACGAATTGAATTTGATCCAGGCGATGTTTATCAGTCTGCAGGCTGCCTGTCAAGAACACAGACAGGCACAGGAATAAAATTCCACACTGCTGCAATCTTTAATCGCTTCAATCTGAACAGTTCGGGGCATCTGCAGCTCGGGGTAATGGGGTGTCTGCATTTATTTCCCAAATGGCATGAAATGGAGACCCTGACCTTGGCAGAAGAGTGGAGGACAAGGTGGTAATGGGAATTCATCTGGGAAGCTTGTTATTTAAGGGAACAGGAGAGTCTTATGACGAGGAACGCAACCTTTGGCTTTTCAAATATGGAACAGACAATAAAGGTGCAAGTTCTTTAAATTCAGAGAACCTCACAAACCAGGATATTATCTATCCTACTGTTTTTACAAGTGGCTCTAATTCACAATACTGAAAGCTGCTCTGTATTTTTGAAGCGTTGTATTCAGCGGCAACAAGCCATCTGCTATGTATTCTAACCGAGCAGGATGCCCTGAAGAGGTTTCTCTCAGAAGGCTCTGAAGAAAGGTAATCCCCTGGATTAAACAGCACAGTTTTTAACCATCTGTGCACCACAACATCCTGTGTTTCTCAGCTTTACCAGAAAACACAACTGTTTTCAGCATGACCAGGTAAGTGTCATGGGTACCACCTTGCTGAAAAGACTTAGGTTAAAGCCGACAGGGGACACGGCAGCCAGCCTTAACATTTTAAATAAATCAACAGTAAACTGAACCTTAGAAAGACTAATTTTCTTTCTAGCTTCCCAACAGAATCCTACTGAGTTTCATGAAACTGGTGATATCTTAGTTTCTGCCAGCTCTGCTGACCCTTTCTTAAGTTTATTTAACTCATTAAAATGGCAAACAGACTAGAAAAATGAATAGTTCTCTGCCAGTTTAAGGAGTTAAATACTCATGGAACATCCCAATGAATGCCAGCACCAGGAAGGGTGAGAGCAGAAGCAAGCAGGGAGGACAAAAACTTATCTGACCCCACCACAAGATGCTGCAGAGTTTAACTTTTCCAAGCTTTTCCAAGAAAACGTGCTCAGGAGTGTGGCAGGATGGAGGTTACTGACGCTGTGGGGAGCAGAGGCTGTAACAACACTGAACCCCAGGAGTCGGAGCCCTGTGAGAAAGAACTGCCTGGCACCAGGGAAGTGATGGAGGGAGAATTCAAGGGACACACTCAATCAAGGGACACATTCAATCAACAACATTTCAGTGTCCAAACGCAGACTAACAGCCGTACTTTTCGTTTCACTTCAAGGCTGAAGCATTAAATATTTATTCATTAACAAACCTGCGGATACTGTCAAGTACCAAGTGGCCTAAAATATCACTTGTCCCATATCCAATTAATTTTGTGTATTTTCCCCATTTAAGTCACAAAGGCACAGCCACTCACTCCAATTTCTCACTGGAGGAAAGACTGCTTTTAAAAGAGTTGTGGCTGTTCAGCCCCACTGATAAAAATCAGAAGAGGCAAAGGAAGGCAAACAACGTTAACTTTAAAAATACTACTACAGCAGGACATTGGGCTACAATCTGCACCAGAATTTTAATTTTCTTAATACCTGGTTATTCCTAAGTGTAAAACCACACCATGGATGCACACACCAATGCATAGACCTTTTAAGATGTGCCGTTCACAATTTTAGTGAGGTGTCTTATCTTCAATGAAGGGAATCTGACTGTAAATAGTCATTCCATAAAGTGAAATCCTGCTGTAATGGACAAAATCCACCACCTCCTGACACGGTTAATGCTACTTACCCACTAGACATAGGAGGATGGAGGGTCATTAACCTTAATGGATACTCTCCATCCAAATTGACATGAGTTTGGTTGAAGCCAGAAGAACAAAACCAGTTTCTGAGTCTTTTCACCCATCGGCAGTAACACAGAGAACAGAGAAATCCCCAAGAGGAGCAGGTAAGGAGGAAGAGGCTGGGAAAGCCAAGCTGAGAGCCACGCTGGCACTGCTGGGCAGGAGGAAGAGGTTGGTGCCACTGAGGCACCAACCCTGCAAGGATCCTTAATCCAAACCACCCGTAACGCCCTCAAACCCTCTGCAATGACAGCTTTAAGAGCATATTAGCAGATGAGTGAAGAGCCGGGCTTGGAAATGATGTTTTGCCAGCTCTGACAAAAACTATGTCTACTTGACGTTTTATTATACGCCTTCAGGAAGTATTTTAGGAAAGATTCGTAGTCTGCAAATCATTTCTGGTTACTGACGATGTGGTAAAATAAAATGTGAGTTAAATTTAAGATTACTAGTTCTGCAAAGATTTCCAGTGCAGACTAGCTACAGGTGTTAAACTTAAACTAAATTAAGTATTTACTAGTAGGAGTCTAAATAAAAACACCAAGCCAGAAAACACTTTAGTAAATATTGATTTATCACAAAAGCAAAATAGCACCACTGGCCTCCGCATCCTGTCCATCTGTCTCAGACTCGTTTAGAGTCATTCTCACAATCTGGTATTTTTCTAGGGTGCAAAAAAGTCTTCTAGAGGGGAGAGGAGAGAAACACATACAAGATTTTGGTATCAATAAAAATATGAGGTGCTTTAATTTTGGCTTTGTGACGTGTTAGAGATTTCTATAAGAAACTTTGAACTTTGCTTCCTCAGCATTATTTTACATTTAAATGAATGGATTTTTTTTTTTGTAGCTACAAGAAATCAAAAAATACAGTACTTACCTGGTAACTAATTCGAATATTCTAAGGTAAGTGGTGACAGCCTCCACACACCTCTAAAACTGAATCTCCTAAAGACAAAACAAAAGCAAACCAAGTGTTTACTAACTCATATGTTGAGGGCTCGTCGCAAAGTTATCATCACATTATTTTATTCTAAATGTCCTTTGTAATATGCTAAAGGCAAGATGGAAGTGACATAACAGAAACGTAACCTTCTATACTTCTATAGAATTTTCCTTTCAAGCAGGACAAAATCCACCACCTCCTGACACGGTTAATGCTACTTACCCACTAGACATAGGAGGATGGAGGGTCATTAACCTTAATGGATACTCTCCATCCAAATTGACATGAGTTTGGTTGAAGCCAGAAGAACAAAACCAGTTTCTGAGTCTTTTCACCCATCGGCAGTAACACAGAGAACAGAGAAATCCCCAAGAGGAGCAGGTAAGGAGGAAGAGGCTGGGAAAGCCAAGCTGAGAGCCACGCTGGCACTGCTGGGCAGGAGGAAGAGGTTGGTGCCACTGAGGCACCAACCCTGCAAGGATCCTTAATCCAAACCACCCGTAACGCCCTCAAACCCTCTGCAATGACAGCTTTAAGAGCATATTAGCAGATGAGTGAAGAGCCGGGCTTGGAAATGATGTTTTGCCAGCTCTGACAAAAACTATGTCTACTTGACGTTTTATTATACGCCTTCAGGAAGTATTTTAGGAAAGATTCGTAGTCTGCAAATCATTTCTGGTTACTGACGATGTGGTAAAATAAAATGTGAGTTAAATTTAAGATTACTAGTTCTGCAAAGATTTCCAGTGCAGACTAGCTACAGGTGTTAAACTTAAACTAAATTAAGTATTTACTAGTAGGAGTCTAAATAAAAACACCAAGCCAGAAAACACTTTAGTAAATATTGATTTATCACAAAAGCAAAATAGCACCACTGGCCTCCGCATCCTGTCCATCTGTCTCAGACTCGTTTAGAGTCATTCTCACAATCTGGTATTTTTCTAGGGTGCAAAAAAGTCTTCTAGAGGGGAGAGGAGAGAAACACATACAAGATTTTGGTATCAATAAAAATATGAGGTGCTTTAATTTTGGCTTTGTGACGTGTTAGAGATTTCTATAAGAAACTTTGAACTTTGCTTCCTCAGCATTATTTTACATTTAAATGAATGGATTTTTTTTTTTGTAGCTACAAGAAATCAAAAAATACAGTACTTACCTGGTAACTAATTCGAATATTCTAAGGTAAGTGGTGACAGCCTCCACACACCTCTAAAACTGAATCTCCTAAAGACAAAACAAAAGCAAACCAAGTGTTTACTAACTCATATGTTGAGGGCTCGTCGCAAAGTTATCATCACATTATTTTATTCTAAATGTCCTTTGTAATATGCTAAAGGCAAGATGGAAGTGACATAACAGAAACGTAACCTTCTATACTTCTATAGAATTTTCCTTTCAAGCAGGTAAGCACTGATGCCAGCAGGAGTGTGGAATCCTGCTGTGGCTGGGATGCATTTAAGAGGCACACACCTTCCCACCACACGGCCAGCTGGCACCCGAGGACACATCTGAACCCCTGCAGTTAGGTATTTTCATTACACTTTCACTCAAACACTGCCTTGATGTGAAAGTCCAGAATAAAACATTCATATGTTTACTGTCCAAACTATTTCACACTACAGCAAGTCTCCATAATGTAAATACTTACCTTTAGAATTGATTATATGTCAAAGTAAGTTACAAATATTTTAAAGTATAAATTCAAGGGCTCTGTGCTTTTATCTGTAGCTCCAGCCTCTTTTCCCAAACCTTTGCTCATGTGAAAGACACGCACTTATCTAAAATAAAGACACAAGTTGCACAGAAACTCTAATAACCATTATCTGTTTAAGACTTTGGACTTTTTCAACTTAGGCATTTGTGAAATATCCGCGCTTAGAACAAGAGAAGCGTGTTTTTCGAGTCTTGGTAATCTGTAATGTTGTTAGAGAGAGACTGCTAAAGCAGCTTAGCCCAGAGAGGGGAGGGCAGGCTCAGGCACAGGAGCAGTGGGCAAGCAGCCTGCTCCGCCAGGGAGCCACTGAGCTCCGGCACCAGGCAAGGACAACCACAGCAGAGAGACTCCACAACAGCCCAGAGAGGTGTTCTGACACCAGACGCCTTCAGGACAAAAACTTTTTTTTTTTTTTAAATTTCAACGTAAAACCAATATTGTCTGTACTGCACAAGTTCTTCACAGTGCTGCCACACTGTGCCATTTCTAAGGCCACTCTATCTGGCACCAAAATTGGTTCATCTGCTTAAACTGTACAGCTACACCAACTCGTGTTGCCAGGACAGATTTCCATCAAGAAAACCATAATAGTTTTATCCATAAATAAAAAATAAAGAAAATAAATTTAAAAAAATAATGAAAACCATAAATAGTTTTATTCTATTCACATTCCCCCGTCCTGAAGATGATCACCTGAAGAAGAACCAAGTCTCCCTTTGGTGTAGGAGGAGGAAGGGAACCTGAGACAACCCAGCAACACAAACTCCTTCTTTCAGAGGTCAAGACAAAACAAGAAAGATCGCTGCAGATCACAGGAAAATACAAGAATGAATGGACAAGAGGAGCCTAGGAAATGCTACACGCTGCTATGGAACAATTTAGGGGGAAAATCACTGCAACAGATTAAAATATCTTTCCGATTAAGCAGGTACGGGATACATCTGGTCTGTGTCATTAATCACAAAGTCCCTTATGCATTAGATTACTGAACAATAAACTTCATGAGTGGGACTTCAGAGCAGCTTTCACCCGGCAAGTCATCGCTTAGTCATCATCTAAAACCCTTTCAACAGCTTCCAAAGAACAAGCCCTGAATGCGCTTGAGAAATAAACTCCCCATTCAATTAAAAAGTAGGCCTTTCACGAACGTGGAGGCTTTGGTGTGGCCAACAGAGACGTTGGGAATACACCCAGTGAGCTGTTGGCATTGCTGACCACAGGATTTGTTTTATGCAATCGGTAGGAAGCTGCTTGATCTGAGCAGCATATACATAACCGAGCAAGAACAAACCAACCGACCAGTAAATAATCAGATTACTGCGGATGGATCCGTTTACTTCATTTAACAGATACCGCCAAGCACTTCTGAAAAATGAAAGGCTGGGGGTGCACAAGCTACAGGCAGAATTTAAGCCATCCCACCCAGTCTGTGTGCTGTATTAGAGGGTGGACAACCTCTCTAATGCAAAATGTCCTATTTTTTCAACCTATAAAAGGTTGCCTGCCCACTACTTCTTTTGGCCAACAGAGACGTTGGGAATACACCCAGTGAGCTGTTGGCATTGCTGACCACAGGATTTGTTTTATGCAATCAGTAGGAAGCCGCTTGATCTGAGCAGCATATACATAACCGAGCAAGAACAAACCAACCGACCAGTAAATAATCAGATTACTGCGGATGGATCCGTTTACTTCATTTAACAGATACCGCCAAGCACTTCTCCTGAAAAATGAAAGGCTGGGGGTGCGCAAGCTACAGACAAAATTTAAGCCATCCCACCCAGTCTGTGTGCTGTATTAGAGGGTGGACAACCTCTCTAATGCAAAATGTCCTATTTTTTCAACCTATAAAAGATTCTCTGCTCACCACTTCCTTCATTACAGAATCACAGAATGATACGGGGTTGGAAGGGACCTCTGGAGATCATCTCCTCCAACCCCCTGCCAAAGCAGGTCCCCCCAGAGCAGGTCCCACAGGAACGTGTCCAGGCAGGTTTGGAATGTCTCCAGAGAAGGAGACTCCACCCCACCTGCTGGTCACACTCTTCCTGGTGCCCCCCAGGATGCCACCAGATTAAGGGGACCAGCAGAATAATGGCCCAGGCTCTTTAGACACTGGGGACAAGGACGGACTTACCCAGAGGGTTGAGTCCAACAGTGTCACCTGTGGTCACTGTAAATCCCATTCAATCTCTAGATGCACAGTAACTTTTTTTTCCTAAATAAGCTCTTCCCTCATGTCTAGATGAAGACCACCTTTAAATTTATGGGGACCAGCAGAATAATGGCCCAGGCTCTTCAGATACTGGGGACAAGGACGGACCTACCCAGAGGGATGAGTCCAACAGTGTCACCTGTGTCACTGTAAATCCCCTTCAATCTCTAGATGCACAGTAAATTTTTTTTTTCCTAAATAAGCTCCTCCATCATATCTAGATGAAGACCACTTTTAAATTTACCATTAATTCTGTTTCAGACACAACCTAAGCTTCAGAAATGTTCATGTTCAAACTGGAAGCCAGTTACAGTACGCTCAATGTATGGATTGTGGAAATCCATGAATGAAACAGCAGAAGAAAGCAAAGCCCAAATGGACTTTGGCGATTTGAATATACTTGCTTGCCTTTGACAAAATGAGCTCTCCTGCTGAAGTCAGCACTTGGCATATAGTGAAGTAAATGAAAATACAATGTGTGGATAGAAGCTGCAAATAGTTCAAGATTCCGGCCCAGATCTCGTCAAAACTCCATCAGAAGAAAAGTATTTTTCAAAGCACACATACAATACATAGCGATGTACAGAACTCACAATATATAGAAAACTAATTTTTTTTCCCTCTTAATATAGACACAAGTAGCAATATTTTCTTCAGTCTCTCAGCCACGCCAGTAAAAATTTCATTAACAGCAGAAAGCCCGATTTACAGCTGGAAATAACTGAACACGACCGAAATAAATTCCAAAGGGAACTACTATTAATAAAAAAATCGAAGTAGAGGGGAAGCCTGCACCATCATCACCCCATCCCCACCGCATCCTCCCACCAGCAGGGCCCCCTGGTTCTTCGCCCCCTCCCCTTCTCCGCATCCCACAATTCCCATTTAGTGACTCAGGAATGTTTTGATCTCCCCATCCAATCTCATTATTCAGCAGAGGCCAGATCCACTGACCCAGAGCTCCACATAATACCCTGCTTGTAATTACTCGTAAATATCTCCCCTCCTCCTTATTACATGATATTCACAATAGCAACAAAGGGAGAGAAAAATGGAAGGGCAGAGGCAGGAAAAG